GAAGATGGAAATTTAAATTAAAATTTGAAAATGGTTTAGACACTAGGTTTTTATTGAGTGAAGAAAAAAAGATTTTTATTGAGTGTTTAAATCCTTTTTTTGAAATCTATTTTCAGTTTAAAGTATTTATTAATGAATTAATGATTCATTTTGAAATATTGGTTTATAAATAGTGTGTTTGTTTTGAATTAAATGTTAAATAATAAATTACTTTTCTAATGGTTAAATAAAATAATTCCAAAATACTAATGCATATCTTATCACAATTTATTATTCAAACACAAAATTCTTTATTTTCATGCATGTGGCTCTTCTTCCACAGTTCTCCACACCGATGGGCAACAGCTTTGGTAGAGGCAGTGCCACAGTGTGGGAGCATCTCGCTCACTGGAGACTTTAATCTAATAAACAACCCACAAGTGCACTTCCAAATGTGGGACTTAAGGAGAAATAAACTTGTTTGCAGTGGTATAGGATAGCAACACCTACAATAAGGAAATAATAAGCCAAACGCAAATCTCTTACTTTTTGTGCTAAGTTTGTTTTACTGAACTCGAGGATAAAGACGAGATGACATGGACACTTTTCTGCCACAATATGTTGGTTAGAATTTGTGCCTGAGATGTTGCATTGTTCTGCATTAAGCTGCACAGCCGACAAACAGGTGCTTTTTGCATCAGTGTAACGGTGAGCTATTTCCTGCATGTTGTGTGTAAAAGTGTGAACGTTCTGCATCACAGATAGAGCTCACGTTTCAGTGTGAATAAGAAGCTGAGACATTAAACTCAGCCTTCATTTTGAGAATAGCTAACACACCTTTAAGTTTAACTCCTGCACAGCTGGACGCCATGATTACCAAGTGTGTGTCTGTGCACACACCCTGTTACAGTTCTTCCTGCATATCTCAGTGTTTAACAGCCTGTGTTTGCATACAGACGGTATCAGTGATGCTGTAATGGTTCTGCACTTGACCTGCTGGCTTTATGACTGGAGCTTTGCATGGCAACTTTAGGGATGACGACAATTTTTGTTATCTTCTGCAAATTAGAAATGTGTTGTTAAACATGAAAAAGACAGAGGCCTGTGTGCTGTGCAGGTGTTCCTGCTGTTTGTGTCATGCTTACAGACTCATGGCAAAGTTTAAATGTGATTCTGTTTTTAAAACAAGGAAGGCTGCTTTCTCGTAACTCCGACGATGTTTAAGGTTCAGGTTGTCTTTCCAAGAAGTAGCTTGGCTTGCTGAAGAAAACTCATGGACAGGAACATGGCACGTACACAGACCAGCTCCAAGTTTCACTCTGCTGAGGCTCCATCAGACAGGCTGGAGTCACAGTTACAGATTGAACTGAAACCATGAACCAGTCATTGTTTTATTTTGATTCTGTGAAAATACACCCATGCAGTTTGGGCTGCATGTAGTCGAGAGGCAGACACCTTCACAAAGGACACAAGAGGAAGTCTTTTTGTTATTTTAAATGATCAGATATAAATAAGCTGTGCTGTAAATTTCAAAGTGAGGAAACAAAATAAAAGATATATATATATATATATATATATATATATTATTCTCCATGTCGCTCTCTAGCTGAGCCCTTCTGTTGCAGCTGCTGTTGCTTACATGAGGAGGTGAC